ACAAAGGCTAGCGACAATTTTGATAGTTGTAACTCGACACCTGTCTGAAATTGTACCCAGTTAATTCATCATAAAAAATATTGACTGGTTAAAACTACACCGAAACAAGCGAGCGATTAAAAAAAACAAAAGCTGGACGTCAATTTTAAGAGAAAAAATTTGTAAACTACGTCAAAGCATTTTGACGATTCCTGCGCTAAAGGTCGTAATTTGCTTTTTTTGAGCAAAATTATTTTTTGCACTTACCCATCTCTGCTAAAACGTTCATAATGATAGAGTCAACATTTAACAGTGGCAAACGCTAGCAACAAGAATATCTCGAATGGGTCTGCTTGCCTGGTGCAATACCACGACCACACAGAAGACAGGGATGAAGTGGAAGTAATTCCGCGTAGTCTGATGAGTGTGTGTTCCGGAGGCCTAATTTTAGCCCTCTTTCCCTCGTCTCCCTTCTCTTATTACAAAAGGATAGAAGGGGAAGCGAATTTGATAGAAGACAGGACGCATAGGAAGGGGAAATATCATCTTTGTGTGCGTCTCCTTCTACGTTGATTTAAGTTAAGCAATGCATCTGCAATTGTCGATGACTGTGGGTAGCGGTCGATTCGCTATTACGGCGAATATAAATATAAAGATATTTTCTATTTAAACTCTACTGAAAACCTATTTTTGGTATCAATTATGTTGCTTACATTTTTGTGGCCGAAAAAGGATGGCCGTCATTAAATGAGATCCTTTGGCGAAAGTGCATCGAGTTAATTAAAAACATAAACAATTAACTTAATTATCGGCAAATGGATATTATCAAACTATCCGGACACTTGTAAAGTACTTTTATTGTATTTACCGCCGACATTCTTTAATATCGTAGTCTCGTTAAAAATAATTTTTATATTCGCTCTCTAAAAGAGAAATTTAGCTGTTACTTGTTACGCGGGAAAACAACTTTAGTACTGAAAATATATTTCAATTGTGTTTATATCCGTAAATGTTATAAATGAAACCTAATTGTACCAGTGTTGCCAACTTAATAAACGTAGACTTGATAACCAAATTTATCCAGCAGACGACAAAAATACGTCATCCAATAACTTCTTTCAGTCTGAAACAAGCCCATTCATTCAACAGTGGTAGAGCCCGCTTTAACATCTTCGCACGAATTGTCCCGGCTCGCCCGGTGAAATACTACGACCACACATAAGACAGGCGTCAAGTGGAAGCAATTCCGCGTTTCGTTTGATGAGTATGCGTCTCGGAGGCCTTATTTAGTCCTCTTTCCCTTCCTACCCTTTTTCTTATAAGGAAAGGATGGGAAGTGTAAATGGACTTTCCGGATGAGAGGATGTATGGAAAGGGAAAATATTTTCTTTCTGTTCATCCTCTCCTCCGTCGATTAAAGGTAGGTAAACGCATCGCATATTGCGTATGTCTATGGGCAACGGTCAGGTTTCAAGTGACCGCTCGCTCGTTTGCCATCTTATGATATGAAAAAAGCCCGTAACAAATCCAAATAATTCCGGTAAAGTCGATGAAACGGCAACCCTATTACTACGAACCCAAGTTCAAATAGAAAACAGCTAAAATAACATTATTGGCTGAACCATATGTATCATTTGTTGACACAAATTTGTGTCGCAGAAGGAGATAAAAAAAAATAACTAACGACTGTCAGGCAGCACATATGTGTTCCTTTGACTCAATACTATCAAAAATTAAAAAAAAAAAACTACAACGTGATTTCAAAATATACTCTATGGTAGTAGAGATAAGGTTTAAATTCGATTACACATTACAATAACTTTTTTTTTTTGCAAATACAAAGCTGTTAACTGTAAATTCTGGCTAAATATTTCTTGTCTTTATGAAATACGAAGTTATGGAAGTTTAAAAAAAATACACATATTGTCGTCCTTATTCAAAAGGAAATAAGTATTATTTTGCTTTAAATCAGCTGCACATTTATTCTGTAACAAGAACACGTAATCTTTGACCTCAAGATTATTTATCTGAATGTTTATTTGGTGAAATGTCACCGTTTTAAGTTATTATAACTTCTTAACTAGTGATCTTTTTTTTTTCTGAAGCAGATGGTAATTTCTAACTTACTGGAATGGCAACATTATGAGTAGAAAGACATATTGAAAGCGATTAGATTAGATTTTAAAACTGCTGTAAATCGATAAATTATTTATTTCAAACAATCATAGCTATTACGAAACCGAAAATTGGTTATATAAAGTTTCGTCTATAACTCTATTAGTTTTTAGGTTAGAAGTATATACATGACATAGACTAAATCTTTGAAGTTTGTACGGTACAGCAATTGTCCGTACCATATTCTTTACCGAATGCCTTCAAAGATTTTTGACGTAATACGAAAAATAACCTTATCTTAAAAACAGTATACAACTGAAAAAAAATCTTGTTTGTTTTTCTTTCTCTAAATAATCCTCATGCAATCCAATAAATTCGTTAACCAAGAACAAAGAAAGTGAATTAACCGATAGACAAGATAGTTGAGCGTTCCACCGAAAAAAAAAATGCCAATAAAAGGTATTATAATGCGACCTTAACGTCTATACCACCTGATGCGTTTTTTAGCTACAGGTGTGAGGGCGCAGTGCTGCCACCTTGCGGCGCGCAGGTGACCGCGCACGCGCACGCGCAACATTCGGCAGAAAACGGAAATTCCGCATGCCGTCTATGACAATTACTTTCACATGTTTATAAGTTTAATAACAGCAGTAATAATATTAAAAATCCAGTCGTATACAACATTTGGCAAATGGATATTGCACCCAGAAAGCTATTAATCTATTTATTAATAGAATTATGATCAACAACATATATCATCATCAGATCACTATATGTTACCACCGAGAGGCTCAGAGCCTACCCTAAATTAGGGGGGAATAGGCTACAGTCTGGCCCAGTGCGAACTGACTTCACACATATCGTTGAATTTCATCATATCTAGTACTTACATAATAATGAATGGCTTGCAACGTGCAAACGATGTATTTCTTTCTTTGCGATCGTATAACTCTTCATACGTCAGCAAGATTTAAGTATATTACGAAAAGGAGTCGAATGCCAACTCACAACGGTATGCAGCTCCGATAAATGTATTGGCCCAAACCGATTATGCAACGGGTCAGAGATTTAGTGCGCGTCGAAAACGTCTCGCGGACAGCGCGACACCGCCGACACGACGGCGCCCGCACCGCTCGATATCGCCCCTAACAACGTACTACTCGAACTATACTCGATTGTAACTCGAACAAAAAACCGTCTGTGAGGTTTAACTCGTAAAATACCCGATTCCCGTGTATATATTCTCTTATAAAAGTAAAGGTAAAAATACTTGTACGGACAAGAATAATTAATACTAAATAAATCGCCCGTCAAAGATTACGCTTCCATTTGGTACGTTCATGACACATTTGTCATGTTTTCTAAAGGAATTAAGCTTAATAATAGTGGCATTAAAATATTGAAACATATTATCTCTGTTTTGTCAAAGGTAATGAAAGGGATCACGATATGTTTTTACATGGATTTTGGGCTCGGAAACTCATGATAAGTGTCGTGTGTCGAAGTCCGTGGTAGGGGTCGCGGTAGTGATTCCGCCTGTTGCCAGATGTTTGCTTGTTTACTTTCCTTTGTACAACATCCATATGGTTACTGCAAGTGCTGCAATTGCTATCTTTGCTCCTTTACAATATACTAAATAAACATTTACATTTTTGATTTATTACAAGTATACTTAACTTCGATTTTATTCGCACATGTTTTATTTTAATTCCTTTTTATCGCGTTGTCTTTCTTTTGTTTCAACTAACAAATCTATAAGAATTAACGTAATGGCCGCCATTTGTGGAATTTGGCGTTAGTCTACGTAATTATGGCGTATTTAAACGAGATATAGGCAAAGACTAGATACGCACTTTCTTTGCACAATAAAGGAACATAAAGTTCAACGTGACACATTTTCAAAGCAATTTGCAATAATTTCGATTTACGTCATCTTATTTTGAATTGATGTATTATCAAGATATAAAAAAATCGTACATTTATTTTAAATGCTTTATCATTTTTTATTACATTTATCTGTAATCAGAACTCGTGTACCAAATGTACTCGAGTAGTTAGTACTAAAGTTAATCTATCACAAGTAAAAAATATTTATATCGATAAAAAGTTGTTGATTAAAAAAAATCTAATTAATAGGTTTTTATATCTAAATTTAAATTATTTAATTTCTTATTCGTATTATATTTTACGCATCAATTATAATTGATAAATATAATTATGTTGTAATACGTCAATAGTTGCGAATTTGCCAAAATGGCGTCGGCGCCGGCGGCGTTGTGGCGAGAGACGTGAAGGGCGATTTATAATTAATCAAGTCACATTTGGCCGATTCCTATTGTCACCATTTAATTGTGATCAATTTAAAGATCATTATCAATGTTGGCATAAAACAACAAACGTTTTTATAAAAGTTTATTATTAAAGAGAGAATGTCTTATCAAATAATTGATCGTGTAAAATATTGAAAGTTGCGCGACTACAAAACAAACACATTCTATTTTATTTAATTATTTTTAAAATATACAAATACAGATAATTACAAGTTAATTTAAATATAAACTATTAAAAGATTTTTATCAGCTTTTTTCCGTGTAAGAGTATAATATTTCTATGCTCTATCCTGAGATGGAAAAGGAATGAACCGGAATTTTTGGTATTTTTTTAATTTGGCTCTGTCCAGTAAATACTAACAGTGACATCTTGCGTTCAAAAGTTCAATTAATTTTTTAATACTTCTTCGAATATTGTCTATTCAACGCTAGATGGCGCAATCATTCACTTCAGTTGAAACAGACGAAGATTTGATTAGTTTACCACATTATGAATATGTGACAAAAATCCTATTGTAGCAATATGTTATGAATTTCATTTATCATATGTATACCAGAGATTATATTTAACACATGAAGTAATTACAAGTGTTTTAGACAATGGTAACAATGTAAATGTGATGTCATCATTTCCCGTGACAATAGCCGGTTATACCGACTGATTAACAGATGAGAACAGTTGGTTACTTGTTGAGAAATGAGAACAGTTTATCGTGACATGTTTGCTAGTGAGCGCGTGAATATTCATTAGTTTAAATTAAAAACCATCCGTAGAAGGCCAACATAATTTATCTTTAATATTAAAAAAGTAAGTTTCTTCCATAAAGAGGTTATGAACAATATATTATTTGTTTTTCTTGGCATCTAGAGTAAACAATTTTTAATCGTAATACTAAGCGCTATAAAACAAATCTAAACTTGTCCGCAAGATGGCGTTGAAACGAGTTCTAATTGTGAATAAATCATTTCCTGAAATTGGATTGGAGTTACTTAAAAAGAAGTAAGTAAAAAGATATCAAGTATATCGTTTAAATTGTGTGATATGAATTAAATTAAAAAAAGCGAAACTTACATAAAACATAACTACTTTTTAACATATACTAATTAAACAATTATCCTATTTAGGTACGAACATTTCCGCTACAAAATAATTAATATCCTTAATAAATTCAAGGCAAATGGGCCATTTTAAACGAGTGTTAGTTATCTCGTTTGGCTCCATACAATGCATTAACGAAGTCGCTGGCGACCAATAATATGACAAAGTGTCTTTTTGTTTTTTAGAGTAGAACCTATAGTTGTCCCTCATTTAGACTACGAACCAGAGAGCTTGCCGGCGATTAAGAAAGCTATAAAAGGCTGCGACGCTATCATTTGGAACACAAAACATCAGCTTACTGGGGATATACTGGATTTAGCAGGTCATTATTTGATAAATAACAACTGGAAACTTAGAATGGCTATAAAGCTTATAAAATAATCTGTCACTTGGCTTTTGAAAGGAGAATGGATGGGTATACATAAAATAAAGTTTCACCCTCTTCCAGGTCCCCAATTAAAAGCTATTTCCACAATGTCATCTGGTACTGACCACATAAACCTTGAAGATGTGTTCACACGCGGCCTATTGCTAGGAAACACGCCACACGTGCTAGACAACTGCGTTGCAGATATCGCTGTCGGTCTGCTCATAGCCGCTGCTAGAAGATTCAAAGAAGGCGTAGATGAAATTATGAGGTATGAAAAAGTATGGACAAAGAAAGTTAATGATAAGAAAGGGTATTGTCACAGACAAATGAAAAGCAGGGTAGAGGGTACAATGTGTCACCAAAAAGACGAGTTAAAAATACAGAACGCTACCTTTATGTTTCTCGTAATAATTCAGATATAGTAAAGTTCCATAGCAACATTTTTGTGAAGACACTTATGCGGTGTAGATAAGAATTTCATATCTATAAAATACTGTAATCATTATGTAAGATGTTTAAAACATTGTTATACAAATACAATTTTGTAAAAAGAGGAAAATACGAATTTCGTTCCATTCCCTTCATTCATTCTAGCGGTGAATGGAAGTACGGCGTGCAATGGTCCCTCGGGCAGGATATTACCGGCAGCACTGTCGGTGTCGTAGGACTCGGTGGTATTGGACAAGCTATGGTGAGGAGGCTGAAAGGCTTTGATGTAGCACGCTTTCTTTATTCGGGACGTAGCGAAAAACCTGAAGGTATGACTGATCGACACACTTTAACTCATTTATGTATACTTTCCTTTATTCATCCATTTATTTGTTCGTTCACGCATTCATATCGTCATTAATTCGTCCATTCATTCGTTCTTTTTGTCTTATTTCTTTTTCAATTTCCTTTGACAGCAAAGAACCTGGGTGCATTGCGAGTTCCATTAGAGCAGTTGCTAAGAGAGAGCGACTTCGTGCTTCTCTCCTGTCCGCTGACTGATGAGACCAGACACATGATTAATGCGAACACGTTAAAGTTAATGAAGAGAAACGCCGTTCTCGTTAATATTGGAAGAGGAGGTAGTTTAAATATGGAACTTTTTTAGATTTCTATTAACACGTTGCCAAAATTTCCCCACGGTTTTTATGCGAAGTGAACTCGCAACTCGTAAACTTTTCGTTTATTGTTTATTTTATCTGATCCTCCTAATTTTATAGAAATCATCCATAAATTTTTCTGTATATTTGCATGGTTCGTCATGAGTAAATATTGAATTCAGGTCTCGTTGATCAAGAAGCATTATACAACGCACTCAAGCACGGTGAAATATTTTCTGCGGGTCTGGATGTTGTCACTCCTGAGCCGCTGCCTAAAGACCACCCTCTTCTTACACTTCCAAATTGCTGTAAGTACATTTTAAAAGATATTAAATTCCTTATACCTCTGTCGAAATGAAATGGAACCTCTTTTAAAATTAACTTGTATCAACTTCATAATATTGTCGTCCCCAACTCGGTGTTTACCCAAGTTCGGGTAACTAAGTCTTAGTTCATCACAATGGTTCAGTGAAGGTTGGTTGACTGCACAAATATCTGAATTCAATGTCGATCCGTCTGGCGAGTTTACTTTCATAGGAAACAATCATAATCTCATGGTACGTGTTAAATTATCTTAACTTTATTTAAATATTTGTTTTTAGTCATAGTGCCGCATTTGGGCAGTGCAACAATTGCCACGAGGAATGCAATGGCAACAATATCAGCTAACAACGTTATGCACGCGCTACAAGGACAACCAATGATGTATCCAGTGTATAAGACATAACCTAAAAATTATTCATCGAAGTTTTTATTAACTACTCGTAGATTCTACTGTTTTATTCATATTATTAGTGAATTATAGTAAATTGTACAGATTAAAAATTATTCCTCCTTTAATATGTTTTTCTTTTGTTTTTTTACTTGTTTTATATTTCGAATTTGTAAGTAGATGAAGGAATGTGCAATATGTATCGAATGCTACATATCAAAGTCTAGATAGAATTTTTCTTTCATTGTGTAATTTGATACTTAGATATAAATCCCTTAACTTCGTAAATAGAAGGTAATGGAATAAGTTTATCACTTTGGAGGTCAACAGTTAACTCTTTAGTTAATTTTGAACATATCATAATTTGCCGTTTATTTACTAAAAGAATAACGGACTTGTTTAAATTTAATGAAACTAATTTCTAAACGCTTATATATGCAATATGTTAATTAATTGTTCTTATATGTTTTAGTAATTTTGTATTTTTTATACATTTTCTTTTGATTATGTCCCAAATCTAGTTACATTAAAAACCATTCGAACTCAGTACGTAATATATAAACTAGCTGTTGCCCGCGACTCCGTCCGCGCGGGATTAAAAATAGATGTTGGCCGATCCTCAGGCCTACTCAATATGCTCACAAAATTTCATGAGAATCGGTCAAGCCGTTTCGGAGGAGTATGGGAACGAAAATTGTGACACGAGAATTTTATATATAAATATATATATACACTGATGGTTACAAATGGAACAATTTTTCTTGAAGCAGTTCCTAAGAGAAGACGTTTTGTTTACTAACGAACGTTTTAGTTCGTTAAAAAGAACAGTTTTGGAGGTAATTTTATATTCAATATCGAATATAATTAATGTAAACACTATACATACTCTGTTAAATATCATTCTACATTATTCAATATGCGTACAAGCAATCGACTTTGAGAATGTAAAAGTGAACGGTATACAAAAATACAGAGTTATTTCTGACCAACGATCAGTTTCAACCCTGGCCTTGTGCGCACCGGGCGCCGGCAGTGAACAATCGTTATAGGTTACCTGATAACGTTCGCTATCAAAACGATTCGCACTTAAAGATAATACAATGCCTAAGAAAAATATTCAAAGATTACTATTTGTGACGTTTATGGCGACAGTATTTCATACAGCATTGTCTGTGGAGGACGTTCCAAACGCAAATATGACGAAACTCAAAGTTCTTGTCTCCTCTAACGACTACCTCGACAGTGGAATTAAGATTTTAGAAGAACAGTAAGTATATTTTTTTATTAAATAAAGTTGTAAACACATTGTAACTATTTCTAAGAATTTTATTATAGGCAATTGTAGTTCAAGGTTGTAACTTACCTTGTTAACTTGAATAAACAACAATAAAGGTGCATATAAGGTAAAAAAAACGAAACAGGAAAATCAACAAATTTATTTATTTCTTTGTTATCCTTGTTTAAAATTATTACTTGTAGTAAAGAAGAAAATCAACTTGAACTCGGCTTGGCGTTGACAGTCGCTTGACTTATATTTTATTTGAATTTGACACAAGCACAGATCAAATCAAATCGCTTGATGACAGATAAAACAACATGATATTATGTTTGATTATGGTTTTACATGAACGATGTAATTAATTAAAGTTAACGTTAATAATAAACCTAAATGTATCACGTGTGTGTACAGTTTTCTCTATTACCAAAGAAAAACATGCTGTTGATACCTACAATAATACTGATTTTTATTTAGTATAAACATGTTAATCATTATTTTCTCTCATAAATACTTGTAATTAAATCAATAGCCAAAATAAATGTATTTAAACGCCTGTTTTAAATTTAGTTTTACAGTAGTTAAAAGCCGCTACCAAAACTTCAGTGAAGAAGGCCTAACGAAGAATAAAGATGAGTTATTGGACCTCATTCCGGGATGTTCTGCACTTGTCTGGGTGTCTCATCATCCTATTACAAAGGAGCTTCTGGATAGAGCAGGTAACTCTTAAAAATAAAGTTTGTCGCTCATTATACCCATCCCCCAACTTACTTAGCAACGCGTCGTCCACGCGTGGACGACAGGTAACTAAAGCCGTGGGGGGCGTCCCTGATCAGTTGTAATATACTTTAACCTCCATCAGATATACAGATTGTTTTAAGATTAATTTTAAGTTTAAAGTTTCAAAAGAAATGTTTCACGACTCCAGGACCTCAGCTGAAGGTAGTGAGCACAGCGTCTGCTGGCTACAACCACTGTAACGTGCCTGAGCTGAAGAAGCGCGGCATTAAGCTGGCCAACACTCCTGGCGTGTTGAGCGCTGCGGTCGCTGAAGTTGCCATAGCGCTGATGCTTGGTGCTGCAAGACGCTTCACTGAGAACCTCGATCAGGTGCACAGGTAAGAATTTTATACTATTTATAAACGAAACCCACTTTCTAATAAAAATCTATTACATGTCGAATTCATTTTTAAAAGGCAATAAAGATATTGAACATAACGTTATCTTTTGATTGATTCAATCCAAGTTGCCAAGAGATGCTAGCCGCAAAATCTAGAAATACTTCTTAACAAATCAGTAACCGTCAATCTGATAAAGATCATTGATAAAAATTTATCTCAATACAGTACGAATTACCCAAACTACACTGCACTGAATGCGAAAAAAATGTACCTACTGTTCCAAAATAAAATTTATGTTTTACATTAATATTGTTCATCGACCATTGGAAAAAAAGCATTTTGCAATTTCGACATTCACCTATTGCTTTCTGTGACAGAGATGATGAAACAGAAATTACGATAATAAATATAAAAAAACGTCTGACTATAAACTAACTATTTAAACATTTATTACAAACAGGAATTTTAAATGATAATTACATGTGTTTGGTAAACTGTTACGCAATGTTACTTAATCACAAATTCCGATAACCACGTGTAATGTAATCGTAAAATGTATTTAAAGCATTAAACTGTGTGTGTACTTATGAAATATGTGTAAGCAGATTTTGGGCAGAGTTTAAAATGCAGAGTTATAAAATGATAGTACTTTTTCAGTCGCTTCTTCTACGATCAAAAGACTACCTCTTTACTGTATTATATCGAACTATTTAAAACCTAAAAGAAACACACAATGAACTATAAATGCACATGTAACATTTCTATCAGTCTAAAATGTGATAAAACCTTTCAGTGGTGAATGGGAAATTGGTTTTGACAAAGTCCTCGGTCAAGATATCCAAGGCAGCACAGTCGGCATTGTTGGACTTGGTGGCATCGGACAAGCCACGGTCAAAAGGCTGCGTGGATTTGATGTTGAAAAATTCCTTTACACGGGTCACCGGGAAAAGCCGGAGGGTACGTTACAATAGAACAAGAAGTGTCAAAACTAGAGTTGTTTCAAATTCTTAGAAAATCAAGTGAGTCTGTCTATTTATCCCCGCAGCCAAAGAGCTGGGCGCTGAGTTCGTAGACTTAGACACGCTGCTTGCCCATAGTGACTTCGTGGTACTCGCCGTGCCCCTCACTGACGAGACCAAGCACATGATCAACAAAACTACGCTGGCCAAGATGAAGAAGAATGCTATTCTCGTCAATGTTGGACGTGGAGGTAAAATGTTTAATAGTATATCTACATGTCTATGAATAATTAATGTTGCGAGGCATCCCAAGCAAAACGAAGCTATATAAACGGTATAAAATATAAAAACGGACACCTATTTGGTGACAAATGGCGCATAGGAGCTCAAGTTTTTTTTAACTGATTATCGGTTCCGGTCACAGGAAAAAGCCCCATCAGACAAAAACTAAACTAGTTTTTTTCTGATACTTTTACAATAAATTTCCTTTTCAGACCTAGTGAACCAAGACGACCTGTACGACGCTCTGAAGAACAGGGATATCTATTCTGCCGGACTTGACGTTACCACGCCGGAGCCGCTGCCCAAAGACCACAAGCTGCTGACGTTGCCTAACATCTGTTAGTATTAATTATCTTTCGAATATAATCCACGAAGTACGAACGAAGATTATACGAGTACAAATAACTTATCATACTATACAAGTAGTGGTCAAAGCTAGAATATATTATTGTTGGTTGAATGAGTCATTTCCTTTTAACGCTACCATAGACATTAAGTTTAAAATGGTGATATCATATTTGCTTTTATGAATATCGAAAAAAATACTATTAAAACATAAATCGAAAATTTTAATATAATAAATATATTAATGTGTTTAATTACACTCAATTATCTTTCTAGTTATTCTTCCTCACATTGGCAGCGCGACGATCGGCACACGCAACGCAATGTCCGTACTTGCCGCCAAAAACGTTGTCAACGCCCTCAATGGAAAACCTCTAATTACACCTGTGTTGGAATAATATTCAATAATGTTATTAAACTTTAAAAACTATATTTATTAAAAAATATATTTAAAATTATAATAATATAAAATTAATTACTATGTTAATACTTAAAACATTTTATATAAATGGTAAATTGTCAACTAGCGAACGATTATCTCTTATTAAACAAAACATTTATGATATTGCAAATAACGTAACATAAAAATAAATACAGATAATATAATTTATTGCTATTTCATTCATTCATGTTTGTTTGTTTTTCAAAATTATGTAACCTACATACCTTCTGTGATTTTTACCATTTTTGTTATGGTTGAAGGGAGAAATAAAAGCAATAAATAATAAAAACTGATAAAAAGTTCTTTTATTAAGATAATCCAAACAATATATGACAATATTTACAGTTTAGAAAACTAAGTGGCATCAGAGAGAGAGACAATAAGCTTACAACTATGTATATTCAGACAACGGAACTTCATTCATTTGAATATCATTCGTATAAACCCATGATTTTCTCAGTAACGGTTCTAATAATTTGGATGAAATTTCATAATCGAAACCTTGTTTTCACTATGACCAAATCTTACTAATACAATAAATGCGAATGTTGAGATGTTTGAATGGATGTATGTTACAAGGTATCTCTAAAACAGCAAAATGGATCTTGATTAAATTTGGCATAGATGTAGAACATAGTGTGGAAGAACATATAGGCTATTAATTAATAAGTTAGAAAGTACTGTTGTAACATTCAACTTTAGAGCAATAATATTGTTTTATAAGAACATTCTATCAATTTATAGTTTACATTTCATACATTTTTAACTTTTATTTTCTCAATTTTAACTTATTAATACTCCGACTGCATACAATTGTAATATAATTGCCACTAAATTTTATACATAATATGATACTTTACAAATAAATTTTATAATGTTCAACACAGTTGTATATATGTTTATGTAATAATATGGGATATCTCTATATGCTATGGTGCATCCGCTACAACTGCCGCAAGATCCTTCAAAAAAGGTTCTATTTGTGTCTCCAGTGACAGTATATGGCCAGTATTGCAATTGTCACTCCCAATGAAGGTGATGACTAGTGGTAGCTTATTCATTTGAATCACCTGCAAAATATATTACGCTATAAATACTAAATAATAAAAAAATGTTGGCTTGCAACAATTTGATAGGTCCCCATTGTGGAAATTGATAGTTATATAGGAGTATAAAACGCTTAAAAAGTTTGAACTACTCTTCTTAAGGAATATTTAAGGCTAAACATACCTGGTAACTAGAATACATGGAGATAATAGTCTTATTTCTGCCCAAACCAAGTTTACTTGCTTGATCTGTGGCCATCCCAAATGTTGATATAAAATTTGGTCTTAAAGCTAAAGGAGGAGCCCTTTCAGTCACCGCACGTACAACCGGAACACCATCCCGATCAGTTATCAAAATACAATGAAGACCATTCACCCTAAAAAGAAAAAAAATGAATTTCTCACATTTAAAAAAAAATAGCATAAATGCTATTACTCACTTCTCTAATAAATGATTCAAATATTTCCTGAGATCATCGACCATCTTTTTAAATATAAAACCTCTTTTTGTTTACAATATTCTACGAAGAAACTAGCAAGCATATCAAAACACCACATAAACATTAAAATTATGACATGAACATGAATAACATTGACAGTTAATATTATTTAATTTTTTTAATGACAATATGAGAAGGAATTGAAAGGTGCAGCCCAGTCAATTTAAAAACATGATTATGTTTTTGTTTGCTGTTTAAGTTCGCTCCTGCAAAGGCGATTTTATTCTGTGAGATAGGTAGTGATGGAAATCGTTCAAAGTTGAAGCTGAACTCGCTTATAGTTATTTTAATGCAATTTTCTACTTTGATAGTTATTTTCTATTCAATTTGTGACACAAGAATTTAGTTCTTTGCTTAATATAGCAACATTAAAACTCTCGAGAACAAAATAAATTTGTCTATTGCTAAAATGGAAGAATAGAATTGACAAGTATGCGATTTTCGTAATTTATTTTTGGATACATAAATGTTTAATGCCTTTGTAGTGAAAAAGCGTGTTCCCCTATGGGGCACAAAAGGAAGAATACCATAATCGTGAAGAATAGTTTAAAAAGTCTCTTATAGTGTGTTACAACGGATTGAAAAATAGTTTCGAATGATGATAACAAAAGATATAAAAATTCAGTCTTGTCTCGTTATGTTTTATTTTTCGATTCATGTGTGCAGTTAGGATTAACAAGTCATGAACGTTTGTAGAGACATTAACTAGAGTATGTATACGTAACTACGAGAAAGTGATTTTAAGGACTGTGACGTCACAAGCGAAAGACAATAAATTACACCACACGTACAATGTTTTTTGGTTTTTGCCGGTGATCAGAAGTGTATAGCGATCCGTGGTGAGGGCAGAGTTCGCGGCGGAGAGGTCGGCCCCCGCGAGGATGGGCGGCGATGTCTGCCCCCTCCGGAAACGCTGCGAGCCCCTCACCGTGTGCATGTACTAATATATCGCTTATGCAATTATTCCACGAACTAAAGCAAAAGTTTCCTGGTGTCCCCGATCATGTGGTGTCTAGTACTATCGAGCTGTATTGCCATGACAAGCAAGCCTGCGAGACACATCTCCACCGGGAAGTCAAGGCCTCCCTAACTCACGCTTACCATGCATCCTCGTCGGCCGCCGCCCGACAGCTCAACGAGCTCAAAGTTAATGTACCAGTAAAGTGTCGCAACCAGCCCATTGTCAAGCATGAGGTGGTGAGAACATCGGCTGTAAAATCTGTAACTTGCCAAGGCCCACAAAAAGCTGTTATAAGCTGCAATTCAGCAGCTGAAGAAAACGAAAAGAAAGTAAACACAGATGCTAATCAAAATGTTGTTGAAACTTCCAATGATAATGAGACTAGTAAATGTCCATCACCCATCACAATTATAAATATTGACAATTGTTTTGCAAAGTATAGTGCTGAGTCACCAAGTGATCCTGAGTTGACAAATGACAACAAAAAAGAAGTAAATCGAAATCACGGAAAAGAAGAATTGAGTATACAAAAAATAAGTTCTGACACAACTCAATCAGAGAGCACTAATTACAAAATTTTGAAGAGTAACAAAATCAAGTGCAATTTAAATGAAAGATTAGAAAAAGGTAAGGAGAAGAAGACTATCAAAAAGGAACCGCAAACTATTGAACCTGCAGAAGAAAAACCCAAAAGACCCAATACACTTGATTTTATCAAACACAATCCAGATATTGCATTTAAAGAAACATTAAAACAAGACAATCCAGAGCCATGTAGATCAGTGTCGCCTGCTGTCTCAACACATAAAGACAATCAAAAGGACAAAGAGAAGCCTAACACATATAGACGGGAATGTGGGTACCCGCTAAATTTGTCTGTTAATGTAAATTGTCATATGGACTTGAGTCGATCATATGTTGATCCTTGGATGGAAGATTACGAAAGTCCTAGAGCTATTACTTCGGTTAACTTAACAGTTTGTACACCAACTTCGAACATGGCTAGTCCAGTTAGGGAGACAAGAGATGATGAGGGTGGCTTTGAGGGCCATGTAACAGTAACTGTGAGCCCAAGCACAACAAGGCCTCCGCGACGTCGCGCGCCGCCGCCCCCGCCTCCCACTCAGCCTCCTCCGACAAGACTGGAGTCCCCAAGACCTTCAAGAACTGCCCCAGAACCACCTGCGGGGTCTAATCATGGCACTATTGGTATGTAGTAATATAAACCATAATTATCATTTAGGTTCTTTCTAATATGATATAAACCAAAAATTTTGAACATTCCAAAGCAAGTTTATTAATCATTTATTTTATTACCACTTATTTAACTATAAAATACTATAAAATTATTTTATTGGCCTCAAATAGGAGCAATTTTTCAATAAATTATCAAATGATTTCCAGATCGTTCACTAATAGAGAGACAGAAAGAGCGCTTGTCGAGGCTTGCTACAGCATTAGCTCAAGAGAAAAGCAGAGTGGCGCAGTTGAGCCGTGAAACACAGATATTAGCGGCGCCCCCACCCTCACCAACTGCTACACAGAGGCTCAAAAACTATGTTGAACGACTACGCGATGAATGTAACACATTGTCTAAGAGATTAGAAATGGCCAACAATGGTAAGTTTAAGACTTGATACATCCATCGAAATATACATAGTTGTAGCGACTCCGTCCGCAAGGAAAAAAAAACTTAATAAGTAGCCCATTTGTTCTTCCAGACTATATTCTACATCTGCATGCCAAGTTTCAGCTAGATCTATTGAGTAATTTTGGAGATACTTTACTAACATCCATCCATCCATTTATCTTTCGCATATAATATTATATTAGTAAGATGGCACAGCAATATACAAATATTTTTGATTGTGTTTTGTAATTAGCCTTCATACTATGTTACAATGATATATTTGTGATTTCCCCTTTTTATGACCTGTTTTTACATGCAAATGTTTGTTTTGTTCCATAAGCTGTAGTAGAGTTGTTACAATATGGAAACTTTTTAAATTTGTAAACAAAGATTGATTAGAATCAGCCATGTTCTGTAAATGTCCAATTTTATTTTACTGGTCTGAAATTTACATCATAATGGTCTCTCCATACAATAGCTATGTAAATTTATGAGAGTCGATTCACATGACAAATAAAACAAACAAAAATTCAAATTCTGTTATTCACGGGAAGAAAATAATTTGTATATATAGGTTATTTTGTTTAGAGCAATAAATATTTACATAAGACTAGCTGTCGCCCGCGACTCCGTCCGCGCGTGATTAAAAATAGATGTTGGCCGAACTCAGAGCTACTCAATATGCTCACAAAATTTCATGAGAATCGGTCAAGCCGTTTCGGAGGAGTATGGAAACGAAAATTGTGACGCGAGAATTTTATATATATCATTGGTATTCTATTTGTCGTATTAGCATAATACTTTAAATATTCCAGAGCCAGATGATTCAGACAGCTTCTATAGAAATATCTACACAGGACAGCGGCCGAGTGCTATGTGGCAATGCCACATGTGCACCTTCCGCAACCATGAGCTGCTCACCAAGTGCGAGGAGTGCGAGATGCCGCGCATACTCGTAGGTACGTCCCCCTCCAGGAACCATGACTCGGGTTTCGGCTCCTTCCGAGACAGGAACCGTAGGGGCATCCCGCACAGCACCTCACATCATGAAGTCAATGAGATGCCCCATGTTATTGAGTCAACATTCCCCAATGTGACCCAGGCTTTGCGATCACAGAGCCTTGCTCCTTAAAGTTTACCGATGTTCCTTTACATTTGCCTTAAAAGTGCCTATTACGATGACTTTAAAGTGCCTATAACAATGATGCCTTGTCAGTGCTCAGGTATTTTTGGTGTTTTGAACACTAGAAGATAACAAGATTCTGTGTTGTGGAGTTTGAACGTTTTAACCCCAGCATGTGATGTGAGCATGAAAGTGCCATCTCGGACAATGTGACAACTGAACATTGTGCTTTTTTTGATTTGCCGTCGTAAGATTGTTCCTGTTTTTGTTATTGACTATTTCAGAATTGTTTGCATGCGTGTCGTGTTATATAATTGACTGATTCTAACCATTTAGGCTAAGCTTATGTGTATACATTTGATTCTGTCCAGATCAGTTTTTAAAGTTAATAGTAAGTACGAATTTATGAAGGCTCTTGGGTATTTTATTTTACTTATTAAACTTTACATATGGTTATTTGTAGAGTTAAGTTAATTAACACAATGAAATAAAGAGATTTGTTTATATTTTTACAAAGTTAGTCTTTTATAAGTTTAATGGAAATTATTAGTATGTGTTATTTGATAAGTTACATTTATTTATTATTCTAATTAATATAACGAGGTAAATTACAACTGAACATCACAACTGACTGGTCAAATGAGGCATTACAAGATCTCAAGAAATGACTACGCCTTGCCAAAAATATATTAAAATATATTAATACGACGTAATATGTCGTAACTTAAAAAAATACGGAAAATTTTTATCTTTGCTCAAGGATTGAGGTATTGCTCACTACACGCCTTTAAAGTCTTTAATCTTCTCACTGTTATGTTTCTTAAGCACAATAACTTAGCAACTGTAAATTTATAGGATATCAAATTTTCCGAAACGACAACTGACCTATCGAATATGTTTCGATTTTTAGGGAACATACCCATACTACGTGATCTACTTTTTTAGTTTTTTCGACCCCTCCATCCCCTGGGTGACCACTCGTAGTACATGCCAATACCCCCCCCCCCTTTAGTTTTTAAGTAGCAATTCATAATTATGATTTTTAATCATTTCACAAGCAAAAATTGAAAGAAAAATAATTTGGCCCATTCTCTTCTTTATAGCATGACTGCATGCATACTTAAATTACTAGTGAATTATGTCTCATGAAAAAAGCAAGTAACGACTACGTGACTAAAATCTGGGACCCTCCCCCGCTCCTGTGACTGACCGTAGTATTTTAAAGACTCCGCTCCCCCCTCCCTAAACGGGTCACGCAGTATGAGTACGTTCCATTAGCTAATTGTACTGTGATTGGCGTAGACGTTTTTCGTTAAATTTTAATATTTTGATCAAGTTATTATATTGTTGAAATTATAACAATTATATTTATGTATTTTGTAGTATGGTAAAATATAAAAAAAGTAATAAAGATTAGAATAGTATAAAGTTGTATGTTTGTGCCTTAATAAATTCTAGAATTCAATTTTTCGTGAGATGTGAATGACTCGTACGAAAATATGTTGTCATCCCTTTCGTTCAGCTTGATAAAAGTGAGATAACAATAAGTAGATTCGTTTGGCCGCAAGGCGGAACGGTACCTGCGGTAACAATTATGAGAACAGTGGAAACGCACACTTATCGATTAAAATTTGGACTATATATTAAAACTTTTGTTTTGAATTGCTGTGGTAGATTAAATTTATCAACACTTATATAGTATCACAAAAATATAGGATTTTAAATCGTCGGGTAAACGAACTGTTTTTTCTAGAACAATTTAATAGTTAAATTTTACACGTACATATAAAAATCTTTTAAGCCGTAATTAGTAGATTTTTGGTGTTTAGGACACATCTTGCATAATAAGTATTATGCAAGATACAAATAATAATAACGGTAATCGCAAATAGTTGCTTTAGAGAGAGAGAGAAACGTATGTTTGTCTCGCTCTGACACAACTGCCTAGTGTTGTTTGTACGATTCTTAATTAATTTGAAATGAGGCAAAAAGCACATGAAATAGTTTTTGTAGTTGTTATTTACGATCTTTACAGGTATTGTACACTTTGTATGTTATATATTTTGTAAATAAGAGCAATGTGATAGTTTAAATTTCTGTATATCAAGTAATAAAAATGTTGTCAATAAATATGATTTATTTCTTTTGCCTTGATGCATAAGCTTGGTGTGACTGGTTTTAAAAAGGTAAGTTTTTTTTTTAATTAATCATCCTAACATGATGTTGTTCTTGGAATGTTGTGATGTTCATTTTATTGTTTAAATTAATTGCTGTATTATTGCTAAGATTTTTTTTATTATTTTATGCAGTTCGAGCTCCTGATGGAATAACAGTTCGTCTAATGCCAGGTCGACGAAGTAAGTATGTCGACATAGATTATACATGAAAAAGAGAAAGGAAAAATTAAAAAAAAATTGTTAAGCAATTGGCACATTTCAATGAGATTTTTCATTTTCAGAAATAGTGCGATCGTGGGTATTATGAGACGCGATGGAAATCATTATTTTTAAGTAAAACTGACTATCTTAAGTGCAGTAGATGGTAATGTTTTTTAATCTGTGATATTCGCATTTGGTTGTCTATGAAAATGGAAGTCTGATTCGATGTTAAAAAGAATGTTCTAATTTAACACATTCCAAACGGGTTTGAAGTGGGACTGTTTTATAAGTAAGAATTAATATAGAGAATGTATAGATAAATGGGCATTTGTATTAAAATGGCATTATTATCTATTACCGGTGTGGTTTATAGAGTAATTGCAATGAATCAGTTCACGCTTTCCCGTAGTAAAAGATAAAAAAGTTAAAATTTTGTTACTTTTTTTCCCTTATCTTTCCTATACTCATTGAGTGCTCTGTTGTACCAAATGCGAATAACTCCCTGTTATTTACATTTTAACACTGCTGCACTTAAGGTGGATAGGAAATTAATTTAATTCAAATATATGTTTTGTAGCGAATATTTCTTTTTAATTAGTAATCAAACAGAATTTATGTTATTCAGGAGTACGTTAATGTTCATTGATAACTATAAACAGGGTTTGTAATGAATTTACAGGAAAAATATATCATTTACGTAAAAAAATTATATAGAAAATATTCCGGGAATCATATGGAAAATTATTCATCAATCTAATTTTAACAGATTTAATTTTTTAAATTCTGGCCAGTACAATTTTCTTCAAATTATCATTCAAAAGCTATTTCTTATTCTAAAAAACAAAATATCAAATTTATTGTTAATCGCAATTAGCTTCAGCTTAAATTATGCCAAACCAAGATATTTTACCATAGAACAAAAGGCGCGCGAAAATACAATTCCGAAAAAAAAACTGGTAATTATTCATACTTTCATATTTTAACGCTAACAGCCAAATTAATCAATTTTTATTGAAAAAAAATATTATTGTCCTTTCCCAGTATTAAAAAATAGTACAGTCATTTTTTCTCACCTTCTATATAAAGCTAAATCTTAAATTCAGAAAATTCAAATCGTTCAGTATTTCAAAAATTATTTTTTGCAAACTTTTTAAGGTTCTTCATAATTAGTCATGCCAAACTCAACCATATTTGTCAACCCTAAAAATCCTACCAGTAACGAAGTAGACTCAATTTTGAGAATAGGAAAAATCATATAAGTGGCATACTAAGAAATGTTGCCACTTTGTATGTTTTTTTTTAATATTTCAATATCAATTTATCCCAATCCCAAGTGACTACAGCATTATATTTTTAATCACTGTCATAATTTTGCAAAGATCCAAAGTTGAATGAATCCATTCTTGCCATTGAAAATTTATAAAATTAAATCCTCTTTGCTTTATAAAAGATAATTAAAAGCAATTTATTTATAGTATTTTACTTGTTACAACAACGCTGCTTAACCTTTTCTAAAATGAAGCGAATAAATAAATCAATTTTATATTTACAATAAAGTAAATAAATCAGCATTAGTGATTCATTATAAGCATTAAATTACAGAAATAAGTCAGTCAACTACTAATTTCTGTAACTAAAAACCATTCTATACTAACCTCACGGCTATGGCTACATAGAGGTTAGAAGCAGCTATTTTTTTAGTCAACTTCAAAAAGGAGGTTATCAATTCGATTTTTTTTTGTAATATTGCTATAAATTGCATATAAACAGACACTGTGATTTCTAGTCGATGCTATGAATTTCTAATCTTGTATGTTATAAGAAATAAGCATTTCTCTTTGTGTAAACAATTCATGCTCACTGTATATATGAGTAGGTATTTGTGTAAGATTTTTATATATCTAATCAAATTTAACGTGTACATCTGTGCAAGGAAAATTTTTTCACACAAATGTTGAAATTCAGTCATGTGTATAAATTTCAGATGGCCACTGGGTTGCCATATATTAAAAAAAATCTGAAAAAACTAAAATCATACGTTTTATGTGTATGTTTCAGAAGTTTGTACTGTTTGAATGTACAATATTAACACATGTAACCCAGAGTAGACATTGTACAATTTATTATCAAAAAGGTTGATAAAATGAAATGAAATTTTACTATATAAAAAATCAGATTAAGAAAGTACCATTGATACAGTTAATGTGACACGGAACAGCGGGACTTTCAATCACAAGCCCATTATGAATGCTTAAATGGAAGTCCTGGCACAAATATTAGTATATACCATTTTTGTTTAAGCAATAAATCATTTTTCATTTTTTTCAAAAAATATTTCTTGCACAGATGTATGCAAGAATATATATATATTTATAAAAACATTTAGTGCTTATTTAGACCTTCTTTATGTATACATAATATCTATTCAATAATTTGTACTTAATCAGAACATGTATCAAATAAACTTGTTATTGAAATTTGTTTAATTTATTTGTTTTAATCATTCCCATTTAATTACATAAAAACTGTCATTCAAGGATAGTCTATTTTCTATAACAAAGCACAATAATGTACCTTTTATAGATAAAATATACTTATTTTTAATACACTTCAAAAAAGAGTTATTCGGAAATAAAAAAAATTTGAACACAATATCAGTTCAAGTGAATAATCTTTGTACATAAAAAATTACTATTGTAGATATTTACATTTATTTGATTGTAATTTGCTTGCTTATATTGCAGTTCCTCTTTCCAAATTCTGTTTAATTTCTGATGTATGCTCTCCGTAGAATCGCTCCAATTTCTTGTTGAATTTAGCATTCCTTTCGTTAATGTAATCAATATCTGCGTCATCATTGTGGATACGACGTCGGGAGTATTTCGCGCGTTTCGCAATTTGCCCTTCTAAATCATCAACCATTTTGTCAATAGCATCCTTTCGATCTTCATGCATGCCGTGTATAATAACGTTAGGTCCACCATAAAATGCATCGCCGTATTTTTGTTTCTGTTTTTCGTATTGCTCCATATCAGCTGCAGGCATATTCTTTACAAGTCGATTGTATTGTCTTACTGTTGCTTGCTCATATGTGGAGAAACCTTGATCTGGATTCTTTTTCTTCTTTTTACGTTCAAGCCTTTCTGCCTCCGTCGCTGATATGTTTAATAACTTTACTCTATCGTACTCTTTACCTTCCTTGGCAGCTTCTTCACGTTTCTTTTGATCCTCTAATAACCATTCTGCTTGTCTTCGTTTCGCTTCGTAATTTGGAGGAAGTTTATTTCTAGCCTCTTCCGCAACAACTTCTTGATGATTATGACTTCTTGCTTCGTTTCTAGCTGAGTGAAGAGAACGTAGTCTCTTCATACGTTCCGCTTGCTTTTCTGCAAAAGTCATGTCCTTATTTGTGGTTGACGAAGTTTCTGATACATCCACTGAAGCCATTTGAATTATTTTGTTTATTTAAGTACATAAAACATACAACTCTTCTCAAAATATTTCTATTTTTCTATCACTTACTCAACATGTCAATGTCAAAATTACTCAGAGTAATTAACGCAGAAGATACATGAGAGACAAAGGTCCTTAAAAGAGAAAATAACTTTTTTCAAAGTATTGTAAGCGTTTGTCAAATTATTTTAATAATAATATGTAACTCTATTTGGTATAGACAAATAGAGTTGAAAAAGCAATTCTGTAATCCATTATTAACTCACAAAAAAATCTTTAATTTTTGACTAGTGAAGCCAACTTCAATGCACTGTTTGACGTGACACACGTCACATGTCCGTTTTTAATATTGGTGGCACTCGTTGGTACAGTGTTGTAATGGTGGCAGTACTAATTTTGTGTTGCAAGCATTAATTTTTAATTTACGGAACATCAAGTCACAACTCTATTTTCACATACTCTATGTCAATGCCAGTCAGTCGGTGTTTTGAAACAGTGTCGGTTGTGTGTTATTGTGTGATCGAATTATTATAATATTTTCGAGTGTTTTTTTAAGTTCACGATGTCGGATGAAATCGTCGAGAATGGAACAGCAAACGGAGACGTGCCGGAGATCGAGCTGATCATAAAGGTACAATTAAATTTACACGTGTTGGTACGCGAGCCCGAGATCTGCAATACACTCCGTCAACACGGCACGCGCAATAATCGGTCTTAAAGATTTTGAGGTGTTGGCATATAATGCTACCTTAGTGTTTTTATGAACCTGAAACTATAAAAGATAATTATTTCGTGATACGGAGATAACTTATCGTCTTCAGGTATAGATATATCGAAGTATTAAGTACATATAAACGATCACGATTTTTCCTCATGTTAATATGTTATATATTATTATGCGGTCATTTTATGCACGGCATATGGCGTTTTGCTCGTTTAAAATGAGATAAGTCATCTGTACTCTTAGGTACACCTTTTAATGCAGTTGGTCAAAATGTTTTATGACTTAAAAATTTTAAACGAGATTTAGGTCATGACTGCATTTCGGCAAGATTGGTAGTCACATTGCAAAATAACTTTATTGCTTAAGTTTAATATAATGGTGACTTTGATAGAAAGGTCATGGCAAAGATTAATATTTTTTTATTTTCGTGGTATTAATATTCAATTTTACGATATAACTCAATCTTAGTTAACAAAAAGTAGACCAAAAATCAAATTTATGAGTTGATTTTCATATAATAATTATATCATTTTAACCTCCTTGGAGAATCTAATTCAAAGTGCAAGGTCATAATAATTTTCAATACAAATTGTAGCTTTATTTGTGATACTTATTAAAAGTTCTAATTAGCTAATTCTAAAGCAAATTTGTTTGTTTTGTCATAAAAAAATAAACCAAGTCCATATCTGTTCTGCATAATGCTACACAGGAAATTTGAAGATTTGCCAAATGTTATATTTGCAAAACAATTCATGTTTCACAGATTCAATGGTAAATGAATCTTAATTCCTTAAGACAATATGATGTTTGTATTATTCTGCTTTTGTTTTTGATGACCTTGAATAACTTTTAGTGTGCTTGGTCAGTATGGATTGTACATAAATCCCAGTTGTAGAAATTAGTTTTAAATACATTCGAAAGTATCTCATTAAGATAAAAGAAATATTAGGAATCATCACCACTATGACTCATGTAGACCAATTATCTTGGAATGGTAGGCTAAAAAAAGCTAATTTTTTTTGTCTCTGATTGAATTAATGTCTAGTTACATGATTAGATGATATTGACAATTAACATCTTAGATTTGTCAGGTCTGTTTCTTTCTTGAGGCAGAGATATGGTATTAATTGATTATTTCGTCCATTAAAATATTCATATGTATAATTTCTATATTATTGGAGTCAATGACAACTAGACAGACAATAGTATAATAATGTGTACATAATAGATGTAAATCCATGTGTCATATGAATTTACACAACTTTCCTTTTAGGTGGTCTATTAGCTATGATAATGTTCTATTGTTTCACATCTACTATTAATAATTAGTTTCTCAATAAATCTCAATTTTATTTATCACTTATACACTAGCTGTAGGTAATAACTCTGTCCGTACAGAATTAAAAAAATAATTAGCAGCCTATGTGTTCTTCCAGACTATGTTCTATATCTATGTCAAATTTCCTCACATCCATCCCATTCATCTAAACATTTGCACTGATATTAGTAAGATGATTAATAAATATAGTCAAACATCGATATCTGCTCCGGCGATAGGCACTGCTATTGTAGCTTGTCCCGTCACAAAATATATGAAACCTATTTATGCATAGATAACACCATAAACATAAAAAAACAAGACAATTATGCCGGGATGGCTCTAGTAAGCTCTTATATTTTGCTCAATGTGTCTGCTATCTGTGATAAATGTATAATTTAAAAAAAAAATCTGTACCGAGAACATTAAATCTCATAGTTAAATAATAAAATCATATAATATGTAAAATATTACCATGAAAAAACGTAAACATTTCGTGTGTAGAGATCGTAAATAATTTCAATTAATTTTAAATAATTAACTCTGCATGATACAAGCAAGATGGATTGTAGGAACCTAATTAGTAACAACTAAATCTAGATTTGTGTTATGCTACGCGAGGCTTGATTGAAATGTAAACAGACTTCGTATGCGTAATAATTAGTATGTGATTATTGTAGATTATATAATCATAACTTTGTATGAATTGAGGATTAGATTTTTTTGCGTAATTATAAAAAATATCTCAATTATGACTCCATTGTGTGTAGTTTTGTTGTTTTTATTATTCACTCGAAAGAGCAGGCAAAGGAACTAAGCCATACAGCCTTGTCTTTTTTATTTTGAATATAGAGAATTTTGAAACTTATTCTTATAATAACGCGCTAAGACGCCATCTTTTTTTCGTGTGTAGTTTTGATTTGACAGCTTTGAGTAAAACAACTATAGACAATTAAAATAACTTTTATTATTAGTTGTCTATGCACTAGTTTTTTTTGTTACAAATAGTGTTTAAGCCCTATTTGCTGAGATTGTGCAATGAAACGTGTCCTATAGCCGAGCATTCCAAGTGGAGAGAGCGCATGCGCGCCTTCGAAACAGAAACCTGCGCGAGCGGTGGCGAAAGTGACATCGGACACGCCACCACACACTTCGCCCCTAACTCCCATTGGCCAATGTAACTATTGACACATCTATATAATAAGAGTTCGCTTTTTATATTGAAAACTATTCAATTGCGACAAGATTATCCCGCACGATGGACAAAGGAGATCATTTTTTTTATATAATAAAATATTTGCAGATTTTTTTGTGTAAATTTACTAATATTTCTTGTACCATTCCAACTAAGCTCTATGCTTGTGCTAGGATATGGTTTACGACAATAGTCGAATGGCGGGATTCGAACCCCCGACCGCGTGATCGGAAATCCGTACCCTTAACCATTAGGCTATTGACGCTTGTAATCATTGGGGGCGCTGATGTGCTTTCGTATTTAAATTATTTAGGTTCACTATCCTTGAGATCCTCAGACCAAAATCTTACTAATGTTATAAATGTGCATGTTTAAATAGATGGATGGATGTTTGAAGGTATCTTCAGAACGGCTATATGGATCTCGCTGAAATTTGGCATAGATGTAGAGTATAGTCTGTAAGAACTCAGGGCTACAAATTAAGTTATTTTTTTGTCCGCGCGAACGAAGCCACGGGCGACAGCTTGTCTATATAAAACATATCGTCATCCCTTTCATTATATTTGACGAAAACAGTGATTACAAAACATTTTAAATGGTGATTTTAATCTCGAGAAACTCACAGTTTGTCCACTCTGCAGCTCTATGAAAATCGAAATAACGTTCCGTTTTAACAAAAAATGTAAACAGTCAAAAGACTTTAAAACATGTTTAATTCCGTACAATTCGCTGATTTAAATTAATACATTGTGGAACATTTCATAGTTAATTACTGAAAAGCTATTGATTGAACATATACAAAGTCTCATCTCTAGTATGTTAATCTCGTAACGTTCTCTACTATGTCGTGTCTATTTGCTATAGTATGCTTTGTTGCACTTTTCTAATAATTAATTGACCGTACTTTATAGATAATGCAAGATTTGCGATCGAATGCGTTTCTAAAGTTTTCTTTTTCAATGAAAACTAGTAGATTAGCTATAATTGTGTCGATTGTTTAAGAAATTTCTAGAATTGAATTAGGTGCCCATAGATTTTAGTAGTTCATATCTGTGAAGTTATTGTACTAGAAAGATTACATCTTATAATGACGTAACGAAACGGATATATTAATAGTAATATTGATCTATTAATTCTTCGGCTGACGATGATAAATACGAATTGGATAGATGAATGGATGTTTGTTAGAAGGCATCTCTAGAACATGCATCTCGCTGCAGTTTTAAATAGAATATAGTCTGGAAGGAAAAATAGGTTACTAATAAGTTTTTATCAATACCGCGTGGACGGAGTCGCGGGCGGCAACTAGTAATGTAATAATTACAATTAGATATTCAATGTGTTTTAAACGATTATGCATTTCTCATTTTTACAGTTGCAGAACAGTAATTTAAAATAACGATATAAATGGTTCATGTTATCACGTAACGTGACTTCGATAGATTTTCATTACATTATTAGCTGTAGACCGCGACTCCGTCCGCGTAAAACAAAAAAAAATAGTTTCCAGCTATTATTTGAATTTTTCTCGCCGTAAAAACTTGACTCTTTGAAAACGAACATTTAAAAAAGAATTGGCCAAATTGGTCCATGCGTTGTGGAGTTATGCGCTTACCAACACATTTTGTGATTCATTTTTATATTATAGTTACGCAACATTTTGGTGTCACAATGTTAGTATTACTCCTCCGAAAAGACTACCGATTTAAATTAAATTTTATACGCATATTCAGTATGTTTGAGAATCGGCTATCTGTTTTTTTAATTCCGGGCGGACGGAGTTGCGGGCGACAGCTAGTTGTTTAATCTATATATATAAAAGAAAGTCATGTTAGTTACACTATTTATATGTCAAGTACGGCTTTACCGATATGGCTGAAAATTGGTGTGGAGGTAGCTTACAGCCAGGAGACGGACATAGGATACTATTTATTCTTTTTTTTAATTTTATTTTTCGAATTTATGCCTTGAAGCCTTGAGCTGTTTTTTATTTAACTTACTAATATTATAAATGCGAATGTTTAGATGGATGTGATGTTGATGGATGGATGGGTGGGCTACACTAAGTTTTTTATATATCCACGCGGACGGAGTCGGGCGACAGCTAGTATGTCAATAAAAAAATATATTTTAATTGGAGAATTTTTTTTAATTTAGCAGATAACAGTTTTCTAACCTCACTTTCAAGTTATTGATATTATAAATTAAATAAATGTTACCGTATCGTTAACTAAATTGCGTTTTTATATCTTTATACGTTCAGCTACGTTTTAAATCATATTATTGGTTCAATGTCTCTGATAACCTATTGTTTATTACTTCTACATCTACTCCATTCTGCTTTAAAATCTATTGTGTTTTTTTAATCGAAACTATATCTATACTTATAACTAC